CCCAGGCTTTGGATGGTTTGTCTTGTGTTCTTACGGTCTGGCCTGCTATGCCTAGTGATGCAAGGAAAGAGGGTATATCTGCCCCTGCTTCTAGTGTGTGGACAGTCCCGTTATGCGTAGCATATAGCGTTCCAGGGGGGCCCCATCTGTATGTCACCCCAGCTGTTCTGAGTTGGGAAGTGATCGGTGCCAATGATTTGCGCCATTGCAGTGTGGCTCGTGTGAGGTCCTGGTAGAAGGTTAGAGAGGCGCCTTCAAAGGACAGCGGTGTTTTACCCTTCAGGGCTAGCATAATCTGGGCCTTATCCTGAGAGGTGGCGCAGCGGAGTATGACGTCTTGCATTTGGCCTGGTTTTGCCGTGGGTGAGCCTGGTAGTCAAAATGTTCCTTCAATGGTTAATTTCCTGGTCACTGGGTGAGGTAAGATGGTCGCCATCAATCGCCTGGCATAGTGTGGTAGTTCATCTGCGCTAATGTTAGCAGGGACTCCCCTTATCTTAACATGGTTGCGGCGTAGTCTGTCTTCAAAGGCCGTCAGCCTGAGCGACAAGGCTGATTGGTGCACTTGGAGCTGAGTGACTGTGTCTTTAATTGTGGTCAAGTCAGAGTTAATGCTGTCGATGTTTGTTTCAGCTTGTGTTACTCGGCCTGTGACTGCCTGTATGTCTGCTTTTATTTGCTGGAGGTCTGCAGCCCAGACCTTGTGTATGTCTGCCAGCAGTGCCTTTAAATCAGCTTTGGTAGTGGGAGCTGTGCCATCATAGGGCTCTTGGGATGGGGCCTGATCTGTCTGCAGGGCTTGTGTGATCCCTACCTCATCACTCTGCCTCATGGCTTCAATGTGTGTAGGCTGCAGTACCTCTGTGGAGGGTGTTTTGCCCGGCGCCGGTCGTTGCAGCATGGTGCCAATATCCCTGCACTCTGCCGCTGTGTGTGGTTTTTGGGACCGACGTCCCATTGCTGGCATTTGATGTGGGGATGAGGTGTCTGGGAGTTGCAGGCTGTGTCCCACTCTGCCGATTGCGAGTAGGTCATCCAGGCTGTAGGCTGGCGTTGCGCAGTAGGCCCCAGACCTGCGTTTTATTTTTGCCTGTCTGGGCGGCTGGAAGAACGGCATCGACGGATGCAGGAACTCTCGGTGAGGTAGGTCGGCCGGGTTGCGTCGCCTTATGGGGTAGGATGCCCGCGATTTTCAGTGGGTTTTAGGCGAATTGCGGGGAGCTGGCTGAGATGGCGTCTACCCTCGTTGGCTGCAAGCCACTATAGTCTCCCTTTTATGTAAACATAGCACCGGGTCCTCATGGTATCCATCAATGAGTACATATGGAGCTTAGTGCTGAAATAGCTTTACCACGGTCATTAATTTTTCAAAGGGTTGAGCTTTTGCATCCACTAGATTTAAAGTGGATGCAAAAACTCAACCCTGTTTCAAAAGCCCAGCGGGTTACATTTTGATTATATGGTTTAAACAATTTTTATATTCCATTAAAAATTAAAGTCAGGCATTACCACGTCCGGAGAGCAGTAGGTCAGAGCGTGTCTGGGGTCCAGGTCGCAATTTAGCTGGCTCATGGTAAAATTCTCTTTTGAAGCGTGGGTGGAAGATTGGCATACACAGAAAATCAAATCTGATGAGAGACAGGAAGACATGCTGAACATGCTGAAACCCCAAAAGGCAAAGAATAACCAATGAAGGCAGGTAACTACTTCAATACGTTTAAGTTGTTAAAGTGCCTAGTGTTCCTTTGATGTGTCAAGTTGTGTTAAGACAAGTTATACGTTCATCAAGACCATAGCTGCACCAGCCTGCTGTGATGATAGTGCAACTAAAACATTTTAGTATGGTACGCAAGCATATCTAGGTCTCCCTGGAGCATGTCACACCTGGTATTCCTGTATAAGTGAAGCTGGTGGTCTCTAAACAATAAAGAATGGTCAATGCAGCACTGGACCCATTGGCTGAGTGTACACAGTTAAAATTTTCAGCCAATAGATGTGGTCCTGCACGCCCCTCCATTGCTGTACAGAGCTAACTGGATTCTCCCGTAGAAGACCTAAAGCAGGTTATGATGACCACAGGCACCCTGGCAGGTATGTTGTCCAAATGAACTAAAACCGTTTGGCTACTTACGGTTTGACATCATAACCCATACAGTGGCTGTAGTAGTCATGGTGCTTGGAGTGTTTCCTCAAAAATAAAACTTTTTTTGTAATTTTATTTTAATGCTCACAGTGGGTGCCTGTGTGGAAAGGTTATACACAGTTACCATCATTGGGTTTTAAAGCAATAGAATAGCTAAGCCAGGCTAGCCTGGGAGCCTGTATTAATGGCATGGACATTGGTTACCAGGTGGTGGAGTCCCCAGTCATGTGAGGATGGAGAGGCTGGCTGTGCCATGTGAGGATGGAGAGGCTGGCTGTGCCATGTAAAGGGCTGGCTGTGCCATGTGAGGATGGAGAGGCTGGCTGTGCCATGTAAAGGGCTGGCTGTGCCATGTGAGGATGGAGAGGCTGGCTGTGCCATGTAAAGGGCTGGCTGTGCCATGTGAGGATGGAGAGGCTGGCTGTGCCATGTAAAGGGCTAGCTGTGACATGTGAGGATGGAGAGGCTGGCTGTGCCATGTAAAGGGCTAGCTGTGCCATGTAAAGGGCTGGCTGTGCCATGTAAAGAGCTGGCTGTGCCATGTGAGGATGGAGAGGCTGGCTGTGCCATGTGAGGATGGAGAGGCTGGCTGTCCCATGTAAAGGG